CCCGCGCGCCGCCCTGTGCTTAGAGCAGCCGGGGCCGCCCACCCGATGCCGGCACAGCCACCGTCGGCTGTGACCACCCAGAGGCCTGCCGCCAGACTTCTCCGCAAGGAAAGCTTGCTGCCGCCCCGGCCCGCTGGGAGCCGCCGATGCGAACCAGAGCTCTGCAGGGGTCATCCTCCCGCGGGCAGAAGCTACGGAAATTCCTGCGCTGGTGGAGTAGGGAAACTGAGAGAATCAAACAAGGCCCAACAACTTGGACAGCCTACAGCCAGCTGGTGCAGCGCCAGGCCTTATCTTCCCCAGCCGAGGACACCTGAAAGCAGTTGGTTTCTACTGCCCGCCCTAACCAGAGACTCCATAGCTTAAATCACCCTGGTCTGGGACATAGAGAGCAAAGGCCCAGTTACTGCCCGTTGTGCCAGCTAAACCCAAGGGCAGACGAAGTCCGGAAACAACAAAAATCCCATTAAAGCCAGACAGACGTAACAAGGAAACCAACCAAAGAATAACCCCAAACTCTATACACTCCTTTTGATTCATCAGCATATTAAGAATGCACCAGGAAAGCTGATGGATATTTTACTGAAACCCTCCCCTAAGATTCTCACCTGCAGGGAAAAAAGAGGGATAAAAAGCCCTCAGGACAAAGGCTCAATGGGGGCTCACTCTAGAGCACTCCTGTCCCCCTTCCCCGGCATAAACTATTTCTTCCTAAATTCTAAGGGTGCCATGAGACTTGCAGCCAGGGAAGTAGTAGGCAGTGGCAGCTCGGCCCCGGGCTCACCGCCTGATCTGTCTCCAAGGCCCCCCCTTTCTCTGACTTCCCAGTGAGCTAACAGCAGCCCCATCTTGGCTCACTTCTTTCCTATAACATTTCTAGGGAGCCAAAACAGAGCAGCACTTAGGCTCTCTCCTGTTGCTGCTTCTACCCTAAGGCCTTCCTTTGTTTCGCCATCCCCAGCTTTAAAAAACGTACTCAAACCCACCTGGACTCGTGCTGTGACATCTCTCCTACACAAAGTCAAGAATCCACACACTACAGGCCGGCCTGAGACGGACCGGTTCCAGACCAGTCCCTGTGCGGTAAACACTCAGACCCGGAAACCCTTTCAAAGTCAAAACTATTTTCATGCTGCTCTGAGGACATTTTCACAATGTTGACATTTGCACTGCAAGTGGCAGAGTGTAGTGGGTGAAAGTGATGGCCCCTGGGTGCCTGTCAAGGCAGTGACAACACTATTCAAGTGGTCATTCTCTTCCCCCCCCACACACTCAAAAATGGCCTTGAGGAAGCAGTAAAAATTATTAAAATGACCCTTGAGTACACCTTTTAATACTGCGTATGACAAGGTTGGGGAGTATTCACCAAGTACTTGTGCTGTACCCACAAAGTGTGATGTCTCGAGTACAGGCACCTGGGAGACTGCAGTACAAACTGAAATGTGTAGTTTTCACCAGAACACAGCTTTCACTCACAGCTGACCAGCTGGTTATGCAGGCTTGGGTATTTCTCAGGCCTTGACATTGAACAAAGGGAGCTAGTTTCTTCATGAAAACAAATGATAAGAGTTGCCATTGATAAAATTCAAGAATTGAAACAAAAATTGTGATTTTAGAAAACATCTGCCCTGTGAAGCTGTACTGCTTTCTAGGGGTCTTTCCTAAATTTCTCACAACTCAACTCGATCCACTCTACTCTGGTAAAGGCCACCCCCACCCATCATTTCTCTACGTACTTTGGTCTATGATCTTGATGCACCTATTGGTAAATTTAATGCATTTACCGTGCTTTCTGCCTACAGACATGATCATCTTCCTAATTGCTAGCAATCCTCTAAATTGATTATAGGATTTCTTGGCACTCACAATAAACAATTCAACATAGACTTTCAAACAATTTTCGTATAATTGTGTAGAGTCAGGGTAAGTACCTAGAACAGTTTATAAGTTCCATAAAATAACCTTATGTGCTGTTCATAAGTCCTTTTTTTAAAAAAAAATGTATTGATTTAGAGAGAGGAAGGGAGAGGGATAGAAACATCAATGAGAGTGATTGATCAGTTGCCTCCAACACGCCCCCCCACTGGGGGTCAAGCTTGAAACCTGGGCATGTGCCCTGACCTGGAATCAAACCTCGATCTCCTGGATCCTAGGTTGATGCTCAACTGCTGAGCCACGCCAGCCGGGCCATAATGGTCTTTAGTACTGTTTTGTTCCAGCTATTTTAAAGATTTAGAACGTCAGCGATCTAGTACAGCGATTTTCAACTGGTGGTTTGGCCGCAAGAGTTTTTAAAACATGCAATACCTATTCAGTCAGGGGCACTGGCCTTTTTTCCCTTAGATGGTCAAATAAAATGACAACAACCAATACAGCAATAGCCGTCCAGTGTGAATAAGTCAGTACTATACCTATTTTTTGGTCAGATCAGCAAAAAATATATTTTTTGGTGTGCTGTGGAATTTAAGCGATTAATTTATGTGTGCCATGAGATGAAAAAGGTTGAAAATGGCTGATGTAGTACAAGCCCTGCCTAACAATGTCATGTGGGATACAAGGCTTAATACCAGTAGTGGAATTCTAATTAAATCTAATGTTAGCAGCCAGAGAGAAATGGTAGCTGCTTTTGCTTTTCTCACATATATCTTAATATTTTGTTCAGGTGGTTGATTTTTAGATAAACTCAAAACTAATTTAGTTGAGACAAAAATTACAGTATTTGAGTGCTAAAATTTGTTCAAGCACTGTGATTCATATTTAGGCATGTCATTGTAAAAGGAAGGTGCACAGATGGTCAGCTATAAAAAAGCGGGTTGTTTTGTTTTGATTTTCCCCAGAGGTTAAAAAAGTTACGCACGTTGTAACAAATGAAAAACGATGGTTTTTTTATTATCCATTTCTAAATCAAAGTATCTTAAATTTTATGCTTAAATATACTCCATTTAAAACAAACATGAACGTATCTCAGCACATTGCACCACAAAGATTGATTTCTACCCTACTATACCAATTTACAGTTATGTTGTATGTAGAATTTCATTCATCTGGCCAGAACTCAGAATGTAAAAGAGATTTCTATTGTGGATGTGGGCAGTGCAAGGGGTTAAGGGGAAGAGATTTAACCACCACATATTTTTCTTTCATTCCAAAGGTGACAGAACATGGATGCATGGAGTTCTACACACGGCCACAGTCCACCAAGCAGGAATTCAGTGTGAATGGTATCACTACAAGGTCAAAAAGGGCGGGGCAGGGGTATGAGAAGGCAGAACTTTTTGTATGAAATCATTGAACACTCTGAAAAACTATAAAAGGAGCTCAAGAGAATAAATAATCAAAGTAAAAGCCATGGAGTTTATTTCAGTGAAATTATTTTAAATTAGATATGATATATTAAGCTCCCATATCCCCCAACCTGGTAGAAAAGTTCCTCTCAGTGAGAAATCATTTATTTTAATGGCAAAATTTTTTACATATCAGTAAAATCTGTTATATTTAAAACTATGTATATAGTACATTTCTGGCAAAAACCTTATACATCTTTCAGTTGTCAAAACAAAGTAAAAATGTGGTTGCATAAAATCACAAAAAATATAAATTGCTGAAAAGATAATAAAAAAAGATTAAAAATCATTTGCATTGACTTCCTTTACATCTTCAATTAGCAAGAATTTGCAAACTACAATAAATTTGTGAAAAATCTGATGCAACCTTTATATACTCAACCAAAGTTGTCATTTCAAATATCTCAGCTTAAAAAAGAATTTACTGCAATAGTCTGTGCATTTATCATACTGTTTGTACAAGTGCAACACTTAAATATCTTCAAAATAAAACTCAATAACTAAAAAGGAATCACAATAACTTAAAAAGAAGCAAAGTTTACAAAATTAACAATTTTTAGAAGGTCCTATTTAATTGGCCCTCCTTTTGCCCCCCCCCCCACAACAGCTTAGAGAGAGACATTACAACAATGTCTTAGTTCTATATACAAATTTGTAACTTTAAAAATTGTCTTCTGTTCTTAACATCAGGAACAATGCTGCATTTAGAGAGCCTACATAAAATCAGTATCTTCAAAACAGAGGGCCACGTACAAGTTAAAACACAGTTTTGAACTTATATTTAAATGGAACTCCTATTATTTTATATAGCTTTCAGATTCTAAATAGAATAGAACAAGCCCTGGACAAAAAGAAGCCTTTTTCATTTGAATTCAGTGCATGTTTCTAGGGGCACTGGAGCCAAATTTGCAACTACAGTAACTACAGACATCTGAGAACATTACTGTCTGATTACACAGGTGCTCACTGTATTTGGGAAAAAAAGACAAAATAAAACAATCCTACATTAACAGTCTTAAAAGAGAAAAAAAAAGATAGCTCTGTTGCAATGGAAAAATGATTAATAGGAAAAAATCCATTTCTTGAAGTTAAAATAGTATAAGGCAATTATGGGTAATCCTTTTTATTTCTTATTAGCATACACGATACCAATTTTATCTGAGGTGACTTTAAATCTTCATTTACACCTATTATGTAACATTATTACTAAGAGCAAGAAAAAGACTATCAATCAGAAATCTTAGGAAGATTCAGCATCTTTAGGCAGTTCCCATATTGCTTTTAAAAAATTCAAATTCAAAGTAAATGTGACCATTTGGAACTACCCAATTTGTTCCACATTTTATTGAAATAATCATGTCATACCTGATTAAGAAGCCATTACCGAATACAATGTGTAAACTTTAATTGGATCTGGTTTGAAATAATCCAGCTATAAAAGAAATTTGGAGGACAACTGGAGAAATCTAAATACACATGATTAAATGACATCAGGGAATTATTTTTATAACAGGATTATGGTTTGGGGGGGACAATATTATTTTTAAAAATATTTTTTAGAACATGCCTGAAGTGTTGAGGGCGATGAGTATGTCTGCAACACCCAAGCGGTGCATGGAAGAACATGTGTACGCACGTATACCTATAACTATGACCCATATACACAATTAGATAGAAAGCAAATACGGCAACGTGTTAACCAGTGATGAATCCCAGTGGTAGATACACATGTATAAATGTTTATAATAAAATTTGGGAGAAAAAGTCACATCTGAACATTTAAAATGGTTTGTAAGAGATGTTCTGTGCACTGAATCAGTTTAAAAGACAGGTGATCAAATGACAAGAAGTGTTTGCATACATTCAATACTGACTGATGTGAGGAGCAGAGGAACAGGTGAGATTGGCAAAAACAAGATTTATTTACAGTATATGCAATTCAGCTCTTGTGACAAAAAGAGCAATTTATGTACAGAATATGAGACAGATTGTGAAAATTAAGCCCAGTGCCTAGAATATCTGAATATGTTAGTGCTGTGTGTTTTTTGGACTTAACCAGACTTTTCCTGTGTCTACTATCTTTGATGTGACTTACTATATTCTATAGACTATTAGAGTGTGGGATATGGAAGAGTCATTCAGACTGAACCTACTGTTGGAAGATACTTGCTACTTAAGAAGTTAAGGAGCTCAGAAAACAAAACCAGCTATAAAGTTCTCTGAGGATTCTAAGCAAATATTTATTGAATAAATTTATGAAGCAAATATGTAACAACATGTAATAACATATGAAGGCCTTTATGGTAAATTAATATTCTACAAAGCCCTGTGTACACTAAATATAAAATAGCCAAAAATCAAGTGAGCCTGAGACCTATAATTCATTGTGTATATTATATGATGCTATATGCCCACTGAACAGTGAACAAAATTATCTTGATTCATTTTTGCACATTAGGCTTTTAACTATTAATCATGTCCCAATCCCTGTGCAAAATGCATTCCAAAAGGCCAGTCCTCAGTTATAATTATGTATAACTTGATTATAAATGGAAGCATTTGGCTATGATTTATTATGCATGCTTATTGCTATCAAAGAAATAAGCAAAGTTTTAGGTTTACTGTGCAAGAATTTTAATTAGATTCGCACACATCTCAAAAAATTCTATTGTGTGACTTCCAGGTCTTGGAGTTAAGTCAACAGGAGAAGAGTCAAGTGAGGTCACAGATGAGGTAAGAGAAGCTTCTGCGGACTTTCCTTGGGCCTCAGCATCTGAGTCACTCCTTTGGCAAGATCGGTAGTTGCTAACTGATCCCGATCTCTGTGGTGTAGCAGTCCCTGATTTGGCTTCAGTAATTTCATCTGGGTAAAAAATAATTCAATTTATTATAATCCATTACACCCCCCAAAATTTTTAATAGTATTTCATTTTCTTCTTTGCAATCACTGACCAGCTATCAGATCCTGTCTATTTTGAATACCTTCTCAAACACAGGCAGAGCATCTGTACAGTATTAAATTACTCATCTTTTTTACACACAACATGTATTCTCCTGATGGCTAATCAAGGTGGGGTACAGTACGTAGCTACTCATCAATCTTGCAATCCAAGATTAAGAGCCCAAAAGCTAATAACTTGGGGCTTAATAAACATCAGTCCTTAGCAATAAAAATGAATCCCTCTATAATGAAATCATAGAATAAATGCACTTTTGGAAGATATCTCATCCAACTCCTTGTTTCATCAATATGAAAACAAACCACAAAAGTTAAGTGACTTGCCATAGGTACGAACTGAGCAGTAAATCAAGAACCCAAGTCTCCTAACCCTCATCACAGTGCTTTTCACTCACCCATTTTCTCTTCATATTTACTTTAAGATCTCATAAAAGAGCAACAATGAACAAATTAATGAAATGAACAAAAGCAGGGAAAAACTAAAGTTTTAGGAACACAATACAAAAACAATAAATGGTCATTGCATTGGTAAACCCAGGTGCTAAGGTTGAGAATTTGATCCAAAAACAATGAGAAAAGTAAAGCCCATTCCATATCTCAGACTGCATTAGTATGTATTAGCAGATAAACACCTTTTGGACATAAAGATAAGCAGACAAACAAGTCTGGCTAGCATGTCGCAGCCCAAACCTGTCTTTCTGATACTATGTAGAAACTATCTTTGAGTTTATAAAGAAAAGATATTCATAGGTGAATCTCACCTGACAATCCCATACAATCTCAGATGAACAAAAATGGCAACACATCTTAACTCGATTGGGCCAATGAAGAATTGCCATAAACACTTAATTATAGGCTTTGTTTATGAGAGAACTTTTATATATACATCTATACCTTTTAATAATGATGAAGAAAGAATATTTACTTGAATTATGAGTCAAATGTGTTCCAACAGGCTTTTTAATATATAAGGTAAATTAGTTTTAACAGCAATACAGATGGGAAATCTGAGTTAATGTAAATTTCAAACCACATCAAGATTATTTACCATTTACTGTAAGTATTATAGTCTATCATATGTATATACCTTGCCATTCAAGATATTTTCCGCATTGAAAAATAAAAGCAACAACAAAACCAAATGTCTGCTTTCCCCAGTGAATTACTTCAAGTTAATCAATCTAAATAGTTGAGGAGGATATATTCTGGCAAACTATACATAATGGTAATCAGAGATGCATTTGCTAAATATAGATTTTCATTTTCTAACTACTGAAACAGTAAAACGATATTCAATATAATTAATGTTTCTTTAATAAAATTCAAGGTATTTTAGGAAGGTCATTAATTTAATGACCAAGTAAAAGACCTAATTTAAAATTTTAAATATTTCAGTGACTTGATCATCAGGTTGTCTCTGATTATTTATAGTAGCTGGTAAATAGAAATGTACAACAGTCTAGGTTTAAGGTGTCACTGTTGGCTAACTATGATAGTTACCTTGGACATAAGATGCTTAGTCTCAGGAATCCTTCTACAGTGCATTTTATATAAAAATGATCTATTATTGCCCAGTTGGGCATGGCTCAGCGGTTGAGTATCGACCTAGGATCCAAGAAATCATGGTTGGATTCCCAGTCAGGGCACATGCCCAGGTTGTGGGCTCGATCCCCAGTGGGGGGCGTGCACGAGGCAGCCGATCAATGACTCTTTCATCATTGATGTTTCTCTCTCTCTCCCCCTCCTCCTTCCTCTCTCTGAAATCAGTAAAGATATATTTAAAAATTAAAAAATGACCTATTATTCAAGCACACTTATGGAAAGGTAAAATTGGAATCATGTAACTCGTAAAAATGTCTATAGTGTCAGGCTGAGAGGAAAAGGCTGGTTCAGCAGAGAAAAATAACCAGAAATTCCTACAAAACATTTCTAAGTGCCCTGCAAGAAAACTTACTCAGCAAATAATCCCTTGTCCTATGAACTACTAATCAAATCTATTTACAGTGCCTTGTCACTTAACTCTAAAAACTAATAACTATACTCTTATCCTTACATGAAAAATAAAAATTTTATAAAATATCAGATACAAAAAATTAATAAATAAAAACTTACGGAAAAGTCAACATTTCTAAATAAAACATTTTACCAGAATAAACCACATCAAAAAAACAGAAATGTTTAACTGCTAACACATACTAATGCAGTCTGATCCTAAGAATTTAAGGATTCTACAAAATAATTTTTTTTAAATCCCCACCTAAGGATATTTTTCCGATTGCTTTTCACAGAGAGAAAGAGAGAGAAACATCCTGTGAGAGACACATAGGTTAGGTGCCTCCCGCACATGCCCCAGCTTTGGCCAGGGATTGAGCCTGCAACCGAGGTATGTGCCCTTGGTCAATATCGAACCCAGGACCCTTCAGTCTGAGGGCCGATGCTCTAACCACTGAGCCAAACCAGCCAGGGCTACAAGATAATCTTAAAAGGACAATATACTCTAAGACTATAATAACAAGATTCACAAATGTTGACATCACGAGGGCACAGGATCTCACATCTCATACTCTTTTGCTGTTGAGTTACTAGGGACAATTCAAGAAACTTCAAAAGAATCAAAGACAAAAAGCCCAGTTCAGTAACAAGGGCCAGTATGTCACCTCTGGCGTTTTGTCAAGGACGTACCATCAATACTTCGGAAATCCAATAAATACGTCCTACTATCCACTTGGTATAACTGTAGACTCATTTTGGAGTACGTACTTGTCACAGGATTCTTCCTTCGAACACGCAAATAATACGGGTTTACAACCTAGCATATGGTAGGGACAAAAACAAAGTCAAAAGCAATTCTATAAAACACTACAGGTCTGCCCAATGGGCTAATCGTCAGAATGCTTTCTCTCCTACCTTCCACTCATAATCCAGTTGTTTGATTGCTCTACAGACTTCTGCCATGATATCATTTGGTCGACTTTGACTTCTGATTCCCAAATGCCATTTCGCTTTCCTTACACCCTGGTGTTTGGATTTCTGTGGATTTAATTCATCGAGGGTATGGCGTGCCCTTGGTGTTTCAGCAACCAAGAAGGGCACTCTCTCGGGGTGGGGCCGAGTCAAGTGGTGATCATCGAGGAAAGAATCGGGGGGGCTTGTGGCCAAGTAAAAGTCTTTCGCCTCATTCATTATTCGCCTGTTGTCTATTATGAGGTGGTAGGCAACTGCCAGTGGGTCCTGGTGGTTTCGGTTATAGAGGCAGCTGAGAACCTCCTCTTCTGAGCACTCAAACTTTTCACACACTTCTTTTAAGGCTTCGTCATCAATCATGGTTGAACTATATGATGGATCCTCAGGAAAGAGATATTTTGGAAGATCCTGTTTAAACCATTCATGTTCCCTGAGAGAAAAAGGCAGGGCAAGAAGAAGGGTTGTGAGTAGAGGTGAGACTGAAAGTAACAGTTTGGGGAATTTAGCATATAAATTCATTTATGTTTATACTCATGTTTTTTTAAGTTGAGATTTTCCTCTTCTGGCTCACAATTCATTGTATATATTAGGGGAAATGCTGCAGCCTCCTTTTGATTTTAAAAGGGAGAAAGCAATACTGTAGTAACAGGAAAAGAAATGTGTATACCTGAGGTTACATTTAAGTTGGAAAAAATATGTAAAACAAGAAAAAAGATCTCTCAGATATTTTAAAACATAAATTTTAGAGAATGATCTGTCCATTTCATCAGTTGGTCTCTTTTGGCTAATCTACAGCATACGGACTGAATGGAAAGGCACCAGGCTCTGAAGTCTACATACATAAAACCTTTCCTCCTCCTTTGTTACCCTAATGCCTTCGTTTACTAGCCCCAGAGCTGCATCTCATTTCTTCCTTCCATCTCAGAGAACTGTGCTATTGAGCTATTATAAGACCAAAGAGAAATTCCAGGGAAGGAGGGCAAACGGACATAATGGTAGACGAAACATGGTCGGCAGCAAATTTTAAGTGTTCCTCTGAAATGTCTCGTCCAAATTTAAGAAGCAGATTTTTCACCATCACTTTTGGCTTATTTAAGCTATTGCGTTAAACCAAAAGTAACTGGCAACATTAATGGATTTTTTAACCTACAAAACAGCAATTTCATGGGATTCAGCATCTGCTACTACAAAAAGTATGTGTCATTGATTATATTAAAATTTTCAAATTCCTTGAGATGAACGAGAGGAAAAAATATAATTCATGAGATTAGAACTCAAATAGCTACACATAAATTTACCATTAAAAAGTATTCATCCTAATGAGAATACATAAAAGTCAAATATGAAGCATACTATAAAAAATCTTAAAGAATCACTACAAAATCTAATACCCTCCCAGGGTCCTTTTCATTTTTCATTAGCTATTTTTTTAACTTAAAAAGTATACAATGTTCACTATTACAATTTCAAAACAAAGATGCATAAGTAAAAAGTGAAAGTCCTCCCTCCTACCAATCTTACAGTACAGTGTATATTTTTTAATAAAATAAATAAATGTGTCTATACACAATTGTTTAACATAAAAACAGTGCTTACTGTCCTGCAATGTTTTCTTTCACTTAATTTACAATATTGATACTATTAGATCTGATTATCTCCAAGTTGCTTTATTACCTGATATCTTTGATTGTGGCCCTCTTCATGGGATCCACCTGCAGCATATGTTTCAATAGGCTAATCACAGAAGGATTTAAATACTGAGGGGTATAAAAGATTCCATCGCATATCTTCTTAAAAAGGGTTGGCACATGGTCATCATCAAATGGAAGCGTTCCACATAACAGGGCATAGAGAATAACCCCACTGCTCCATATGTCTACCTCTGGGCCTGCATACAGTCTGCAACAGGAAATGCCCGTTGGATTAAATAATCATTAGTAACTTGAGAGTCAATCATTTAATCAAAAATCTTAAGTACAGATAATTATTAGTCAGAATGTTGTTTGTGTAATCAGTGCTATATACTACACATGAAGATTCTGTACTAATTCTATCAGTATTTTCTTTGAAAGCAAAAGTCAAAAATTTGTTTTTTAAGTTACAGTCTATAGCTAAAATTCTGTTCTTACTACCTATGTGCTCCTGAGAGCCAACCAATAGAGCCAAACCTTGAACTAATATGTCATTGCTGAATTTAAAACCACTGTTGTTTGGTTCCAGAAGAGAGAGGAAATGATCTTTCACCAACTGAGAATGTTCTTTACTGATGGACTCTAAATCCAGCCTCCCCAATAACCCGAGATGTCCTCAAGGTAAAGCGGGCCTGCAGCTGTGGGAGGAAGCCAAGCCAACTGGTTCAAAGACGGTTCTACTTGCAACACACTGCAGCCAACTGCCTAGACTAGCTGCAGACTGGTTAGATAACCCATCAAAGTCTGGCTTCAGAGAAACAGTTTCTTTAAGCTGGTCAAAGAAGTTGTTAAACTGATCCATAAACACTGTTTTGAAAACAGAAGTTTCCATTCTTCCAGATCTTACAGAAAGACCTTATGCAAACTAGAAAAATCAGACTTTAGTCATGGCCCAATTGCATATATTCATAATTACAATACGTTTATTTTCATTTATTTAACCCTGCCCCCAGTATCTAAGTCTTGAATTGTTTTCTTCCCAAAAGAATTCAGACAACACAAATGATTTTTTAAAGAACTCTGAACATTAAGTTAACATAAAATGATAAAACCTGATAAATCTAAAATTAGGACACTTCTGCCTTGTTCATAGCCATGACTTTACAGAAATATAATTTCTCTGAGCAGGTTAGGCAAGCAAGCTTATGAAAATAGGAAGAAAGTACTACAATATTTCTGCATTATGATTTAATCAAGATCTGAAACAAAGAAACGTGGTTTGAATAAAAGTTCTTACAAGCTAACTATAAAAACTAGTAAAGAAAATCAAATCAACTTTGTGTTGAATCTCAGTGGTATCACGAGGAACAATTAGTCTTCAAACAACTTGACTTCCCTGTCGTCTAAACTATTCAAAAAGCTGCACCATACAAAGATTTTCACCTTCTCACACATTAGCTTAGTAAAGAGGTTAGAATTCTTATAATATTGCAGTCTCTAAAAGATTTTTAAAGTGAAAATTCAAAATAAATGAAGTCTGAAGATTTTACTAATACTTGAGCCTTCTCTGTAATAAGGTGATAATACACCTTATCATAAAACCTTAAGCTACGACCAAAATACCACCTATTTGAAAAATTAAAGTTACACATTACCCTTTTAATTCTTCATCTAAGTAAACAGTAAACCACTTCTAACTACTAGATACTTCAGTATTATTCAAGTTTTTAATGTCTCACCTACCTTTAAACCTCACTGATTTTAAACCTTCAATTTCTTCCACAGGAGGGGAAACGTAAGTATTCTCATCTAACTACTGTAATATAACACTGACCTTGCATACCAACATTCTCCTCTATACATGGAGGCCTTAATTGTAATGTTTTATTTTTAAAACAACACTTTTGCCCGGCCAGGCGTGGCTCAGTGGTTGAGCATCAACCTATGAACCGGGAGGTCACGGTTCGATTCCCGGTCAGGGCACATGCCCGGGTTTCAGGCTCGATCCCCAGTGGGGGGGGGGGCGTGCAGGAGGCAGCCGATCAGTGACTCTCTCATCATTGATGCTATCTCTCTCTCTCTCCCTCTCCCTTCCTGTCTCTGAAATCAATAAAGATATATTAAAAAAACAAAACAACTTAAAAAGATCTGCTCAATGTCTGNATCAATGACTCTCTCATCACTGATGTTTCTCTCCCTCTCTCTGAAATCAATAAAGATATATTTAAAAAAAATTTAAAAAAGAATACTTTCTGGATAAGAAAAGAATAAGCCTTAAATGTTTTTCCTTTCACTAAATTCAACATTATACATACTATAGACTAACAACATCCAGGAGGAAAGGACAATTACAGGGGTACTGAGGGGAGGGAGTGTCAATCCTACCTTCCTGAAATCACTTCTGGGGCAGCATAGTTGGGCGAGCCACAACTGGTTCTTAGGAATTCACCATCTGACATCATGTTTGAAAGACCTAGAAATGCACAAAATCGACTCCTCAGGATTTTCCAAGGACAAAAATAAAAGCAAAACTCCATTAAACAATACAACTGAATCTGCATTAAAATAATCATTTTATTCTTTGCTTCAACAAAATCCTCTAGTCTTTACTGTTCCCAAATATTTTGCACCTGTGCCCTAAAATTTGTACTCTATTTCAACATTTAAAGTTATTACATTTTTGGAGTTTAATGAGTATATATTAAGCTATTAGTCACTGAGCTTACTGGAATAAACTTGGCATGTTTAAATTTTATTAATACAGCCCGGCCAGGCATGGCTCAGTGGTTAAGTGTCAACCTAGGATCCAGGCGATCAGGGTTCGATTGCCGGTCAGAGCACATGCCCGGGTTGCGGGCTGCAGCCTATCAATGACTCTCTCATCATTGATGTTTCTCTCTCTCTCTCCCTCTCCTTTCCTCTCTCTGAAATCAATAAATATTATAAATAAATAAGTAAATAAATAAATAAATAAATTTTATTAATACAGCCTGGCCAGGCGTGGCTCAGCGGTTGAGCGTCGACCTACGATCCAGGCGATCGGGGTTCGATTCCTGGTCAGGCCACATGCCCGGGTTGCGGGCTCAGTCCTGGTCAGGGGTGTGCAGGAGGCAGCTGATCAATGACTCTCTCATCACTGATGTTTCTATCTCTTTCTCTCCCTCTCCTTTCCTCTCTTTGAAATAAAGATATATTTTTTTTTAAAAAAGTTTAAATTTTATTAATACAGAAATTACTAGAAAAAATGTAGAACAGAGAATTAAAATGGAAAGTTTTTCCTAACCCCCGTTTCTTTAACAGAATATAATAATTTTGAAAATCAGAGTTCCCTCACAGTTTTACTCCAAAAAGACACCTCTGCCTTCTTAAAAATGTCCTCTATATAAAAGTAATTATGACAACTGAGGTAGAAGGAAGTCAAATAATTTAGTCAGTTACCAAAAAACAGAACAAAAAAATAGCAGCTCAGGGCTGGTTGGCATGTTCAGTTAATTTCTATACACTAAAAAATATATATATATTCAAAACAGAAAAATATTTATAAGAAAATCTCTGATTTGAAATGAAGCTAAGCAAAAAACATTGCAGAGATCCACTTTTCTGTTAGATTTAATGTCAATGGCAGTTTATACAGGAAATAAAAGGAAATTAAATTCATCTTTCACAATCCAAATAACGTTCCTCAAGCTGAAATGACGTTTTTCTCAAGATAAAATTGTTTTTCTAATATTTAAAATACCTTTTTTCCCCCTAAACAATTTTGTTCATATAGTTTACCTTCTGGCTTTCAAAGTTTGAATAACTCCATCCCAGTCTCTCCACCTGCTCCATAATTGATCAAAAGAACACACTGGAAATAGGCTGCTCCTTCACACATAATAGGCTCCTTCTGATGACGTCTCTACTGCCACCAACTTAAATTGTTTACCTACTGTCACAAAACTCAATTTTAAAGAAGACATAAAGCTAAAAAAATAGAATGCCTTATCTTTTCGCCTTTCTGTATGCTCATGAACAAAATGGTGAAGCTATACTACTCTGGGATACTAGGTCTACTACATAAAAGTGGAAGTTACCTGAAGAATGCTACTCCTGCTCGTTAAACGTGATGAACATATGACTATAAAAACCTCCTTACCAAAATCAGCTATCTTGGCATTCATGTGTGCGTCAAGCAGGACGTTCTCGGGTTTCAGGTCTCTGTGGACCACCATGTGCCTGTGACAGTAATCCACTCCAGAAAGGATTTGTTGGAATAGACGTCGACTTTCTTTTTCATCCAGCTAAAAAAAGTAGAGAGGCATCTTAAAGGTGTGTGCAAAATAAGTTCTTTTACCTATAATTCTCCAATCTACAAAACTGTATGAATGCATGAAACCTTCCAAATGAACCTCATTTACAATGCACGTTTGAAATGCAGAGGAGATGCAGCACAAAACAGAAATGCTGAGAGGATCTTGGAACCCAAGTCAGTAACAAGTTTTTAATGTTACCACTGTCATGGCCACATTGTTACAGCTTGCTTTCCTTTATATCTCATGAGCTATTTCAGATAGTTTCAATTTCTGCCTAAAACCAGACATGTTTTCTATAAATTCAAAACGTTTCATCTTTCACTCCTTTAACAAATATTTATTGAACACCTACTGCGTGCCGTGCACTGTTTAATGATATATAGAAACAAAATAAAGGACCTAACACAGTTGACGAGAACAGACAATAAAAGGAATGCGTGATATAGTGCACGGAAGAAAAACAAGGCAGGGCAAGGACACAGTTATGCTGTGGTGGGGACTTCATGTTAGACTTCATGAGGAAGACACTTAAGTATGGTCAATGAATTAGCAAGCAACCATCTCATGTTCTGAAATAAAAGACGTTCTAATTCTAACAAAAGGAAAACCTTAATTCCACTTATTTTATAAAATATAAAAGCATTTACCTTTAATCTACGTACTGAAATGATTATCTTATGCTAAAACTACATTTTAAAAAATATTCTTTTAAAAATTATCTTTCATTTATCCATATTTTCTTGTTTTTTTCCATAATCATTACTTGGACATGCTTGCTATTAATTCTTTAGGCAGCGAACTCTAATGTGCACTTCTCTAACTCAGACCACATATTAGCATTCTAAAACCAGACTTTTATACCTTAAATTGCATGGATGATCTGGGAGAAAAGATGAAATAATTTTTTTTGAAAACCAAATTAAAATGATCAAAGTACTATGAGATACCCACCCTTCCTCCGAAAAGAATACTAATGAATTAGCAATCTAACACCTTTATTTCTAGAAGAAATGTAAGTTGATTTTTAAAATATTTATATCAACTGTGCTAAATAAAAAAAGAATGTGTTCTAAATGTGAAAGAGAAGAAAACTTAATTGACTAAACAAAATATAAGAGGTAAAATAACTCGAGAGGCTACAAAACAATGAAGATTATACTGAACTGATAATAAATACAGTACAAAGGATGAGGGAAAGATCTACAAGGTCGGTTAGAAAGGTCAAAGCGCATTTCCAGTTAAACACGACAGACTGAGCCTTGGTCTCCACTCCCTGAAACATTACCAAAATGACATCAGCACATAAAGACAAAAGAACCAGAGAAGAGACAACAGCAATCAAGAGGAGTCACCATGCTGGAGAGCGGATGAACAGTGCCCAAGACTTCGCCAGGCAGGACGCTAGCGAAACCCAAGCCTACAGGGACAGAGACCAGTAATAAACTTGTCTGTACACAGAACCCTGGAGAGGCTCAGAAATGGGAAGTATTGGGAATTTTTGAAGGTAGATGTGAGAGGTGGGCCGAAAACAGAGGACACTGGTTGAAGAAAGACGTTTTAATCTCACCTCTACTAGGGAATAAGACCCGTGATTTACTCTTTAGTAAGGATGACTCAGCTCTGTCCTCAAGGACACCAAGGCAGGGATGAGGCACCAGAAGGAAAACAAGGGGATTAAGTGAAAGTTAACATACTAACTAGGGACACCTGCAGCCTCTTCCCCATCCAGCTTCCGAGCGCTGGCAGCTAAGCTGATACCCTCAGAGAAACTGGAAGGTTTCTTCTGGAGCAACTATCTGATCCAAGGAAAGATGTTTTTTGTTACTGACATTTGGTGTACCCTAATAAAATGGACAGGTCCCTACCTAATCAACCTATGGGAGGCCCACCTATCAGTAAGTTCCACCCACATGAGCTTGGCATTTAGTACCCCATTCTCAAGTGAGTGGACAGCCAGTGAGGAAGGGCCAATGCACAAAAGACAAAGGAAGACCAATAAAGTGAATTAAAAAACCAGGGAGCAGGGAGCACAGAGCGTACAGGAACAATGCAGGGAACCCGAGAAAAACATTTAACTAATTGTCATCTTCAGATAAGATCATTACACCTGTGGAGAAAACACAGGCTATTTAAAGAAAGAAAATTTCAGAATATAAGAAAGATCTTTGAAACAGAAAATATGACAACTGAAATTTTAATATGCAACAGAAAAAGCTGAAGAAAATTCCCATAATGTAAAGCAAACTGACAAAGAAATGAAAAATGGAAAAGAAAACAAGATGCCAACTAAACCTGTGTCTATTTCCATTTTCTCCAGGCAGAAAAAGGGAGGTGGAGGGATACACGGTGAATAGAGAAGTGGAATCCTGAAATTTACATGAACCATGTTAAGATATGGCAAGTCAGGATGAACTTGGTTAATGAGTTGAGTTTGATGAAAATAAACATAGGCCATACAGAACAAGTGAATGACTGATATAAAGAAAGGTTCAGAGGGGGGAAAATGGATTCTCAGTGCTAGGTGCAGCTTTTCCAGTAAGAGGCTTTTGCAAACCACATAACCTGGGTGTGAGAAACAGTGTGGGCAGGGGGCAGCGTTCAGGTTTTGGATCCGTAACTTAGGATACTGTTCAAAATGTCTTCTATAGTTCCTTCCAGCTCTACATTCTGTAAGTCTAACTCCTACCTCCTTCACGGAGCCTGTCCTTACTACTTCAGGTACGACAGATTTCTGAAACCAGAAAATGAATGCAATTTAAATGTGGCTAGGGTTGACGAGCAAGGCCTAGTAAGGATTAAATATATACTTAAAGATACATATGTAAAGTATCTGTATGCCCCCGAGAATTAGGTCTGAAAATCATGGGTTCTGTGCTCTCATTCCAGTTCTGTCATTAGTAAGTCATGTGACCTCGAGCAAACATATAAACCGTGGGTCTCAGTTTCCACATCTGTGTAAGTAGGCTGAGGAAATAATGTTTAAGGTCCTTACTAGCTCTAAATACTCTATGATTCTAGACAAACATAAGAGTAAGGGAAATGGTTATTAAATAGACCTCTTAACAAAACTGCTTTCAGTGTCCTGAAGCCAGTAAGGGATGGGGGGAGTTACAAACAGATACAGGATTAAATCGGAGCTGCTTACCCTTCCATTTTTACAGATATAATCAAATAGCTCTCCTCCTGAGACATACTCCATCACCATGAAAATATCAGATGGTGTACTGATGACCTGGTACCTGGTGAGAGAAAACATTATCTACCAATATTAACACATATGAACTCATTCATTCAATAAATATTCATTAAGCACCTACAATCTTCCAGGTACTGTGCTAGGAGCTGAGATAACTGCAGGAAACAGAACTTCTCTGCCCTCCTGGAGTTCATGTTCTAGGAGCCAGGCAACAAACATTCAATAAATAAGCGTCATCTCAGGGGGTGGAACATGCTATAAAGAGAAATAAAGCAACTAACGGGGATCTTTCACCTGGAGTGTTCAAGGAGGGCCTCTCTGGTAAAGTGGTATTAGCAGAGCCTAGTGGAAGTACCGGATAAACTGTGCCATTACCTAGGAAGAAGGTGAACCAGGCAGAGGGAACAGCAAGGGCAAAGACCCCATGTGGAAGCCTGCCTGGCATGTTCAAGTGATGTTAGGAAGGCTGGCAGAGGGCCCTGGGAGAGGGAAATAGGATGTGGAGTCAAAGAGGTGACTGGAGACCTGAGGACACAGAACCTTACAAGCCGGGATGGAGATCTGGCTCTTACTCTAAGAGAGATGCAGGTTTCAAGCAAAGTAGTCACGTGATCTGGCCTATTCACACGTTACTGTGGCAGCAACGTGAAGAACTGACCACTGACCGTAGACAGTCCCGGTGGGTGCAGCGGTCAGTCCGTGAGCGAGATGAAGGGAGCTCAGACCGGGGTGATGGCAATGGCGGAACGGAGACAAGAGAATGGAATGGACGGCAGACGTGAGGGCGGTGGGGAAGTTAAGGTGGCTCCCAAGCTTCTGCCCTGAGGAGCTGGATGTTAACTGAGATGCGGGAGACGGGGAAAAGCCGGTCTGGGAGGGGAACAGCGAGTTCTGTTTCAGCCACGTGGAGTTTCACGTGCTTCGCGGACATCCACACGGACGTAGAAAGCAGGCAGTGGGCGTGAGTCTGGAGTTCAGGGCAAAGGCTTCAAAGCGGGAGGTGGATGCTTAGGGGCCATCAGCACACGGACATATTTGAAACCATGACACCTCAACACGAGAAGAGGTGAGAGTGAAACAGATTTTGAGTCACTGAGTTCAGACAAAAGTCTAAGCAGTTTTAACTTACAACCTGTAGCATAAAGCTGAGCAGTGAACAAAGTACCTAAAAACCCTACAACTGGCAACTGAGAAGCACCGGTAATGTTACTGCCCTTGTGCACAAGTGGACTCCTGACATTCTATTATCTGCTCTTTGTCTTATCAGATGTCAGCAGCTTGGGGAAAACCCTTCTGACTGCCTGTCTCTAGTGAGGGTAACTGACACGTGGAAATCTGGGGGTTAAGAGTTTGTCCTAGCAAATCCCTGTTGGTCCTGCAGCAAACAGGGCGCTGAACGTTATCTATCAGAAGGGCATCGATCCAGAAGAGAACGAATGAGAATGGTAACTGCTGACACGCACAGGGCGAAACGGGAACGCAGGCTTCCGGGACCCTGAGTGGGGTCAGATACGGAACAGGGAGAAACATCACCCTCAGGAACAGACCGAGGAAACGCGCCGGTCGTCTCCCTCACTCATCGTATTAATTAGGTTAACAAAGATGATGGAAAGTGGTAAGGCTGTATTTAATATAATCAGGTCTTACAGTTTAATTATGTGAGGATGGCGGAAAAGCTTGAGGTTCTGAATTTCTCTGCGGATTTTTCCTACCACATCGAGGCTGCGAATCTTCTGTCGATTGAGTATCTTCACAGCGACCTTGTGCCCCGTCAATTCGTGTTTGCCAACTGCAGGAGAAATCGTTTAATGAATTAGTACATAGTTAGACACATTCTAAGAGTAGGAATCTTAGCATTCTCAGAAAATACTTGAGCGGGTTTAACTTCCTTCCAGTTCCGCCCGATTTACCCGTGAATATCTGAGTGAGTGACTAAGTGGGAGGACACACAGGAACATGGTACCAGGGGTCCCCTTCCAAGGAGGGAGGCTGGGCGGCGGAGGGAGAGAGAAAAGAAACTTCCTTTTCTTTTATCGTCTCTCCATTTATTTTTCATTCTTTAAGCTATCAGACATACAATCACAATTATGAAAACACCAAATATGGATTTTTAAAGAATGATATAATTTTATTAGGAGAATGAAGGTGTAGAGGAAAAGGTGCAAGAGCTAACATCCATCTACCATAAGAGGCGGTCGACCAGAAACCCTGTGCGCGGAATCAGGCGCCTGTGTGGATGTGTCACTCACAGACCCTGGAGGCTGGGCACGTCCAGGAGGGCAACCACCCGACGTTTCTCTCCCATGGACGTTTCCCTCTCTCTCCCTTCCACGCCCTAAAATCAGTGTCCTCGGTTGAGGATGTAAAAACCAACACCAAAAACCCAGGAGTAAGAACCTTACAGATCATCGGGTACAATGGTTTTCAACAAGTCAGTGCCCTGCCCCAGCAGGCTAACCAAGGCAGCGAGTGACGGCGCCCTGCCCACCACAGCCCAACTCAGCCAGAACCAGGGCGGGCTACTTCCACAGTATTCTGAATTTTTTTAAGCTACTTTGCTTAAATATTTTAATTAATAGTATTAAATCCAAGGTCAAGTTATACAGATATTCCGCAATGGGAGAGGAAAATCTTTGTTAAATAAGACTCAGTGTGTTTAAGTCAGAGTCCTGACGCGCAATCCTTTCCAATACAACTTTCCACCTAAGTTCAGCTTCCAATCTAGAGATCCTTTAACCTTCACAATATCCCTACAACGCAACCTTCCCAGCAAAGGAGCAAATGTGCAACTGCAGCACAGTCTACTGGAACCCAAAGGATTATCACAGAATCATAAGGTGAAAATCCATTTTTAAATTACTACAAGGTAAAAGGAATCTCTAAATTTAACTGCCCTTTATATAGCTCCACTAATCTCAGAACCACCCATGGCTAAGAAATTAGAGCAGCTTCCTGAAATGGCAGAGTAACAGAATGCACTGGATATACTCCTATCAAAACCTTATTAAATATACATGAAATTAGTGAGGAGGAAAACCCTACAGTCAGAGCTAAAATGAACTGTGGGAATCAAGCACACTCCTATTTCTGATAAGGCTTTCTCCAATCTCCAGTACCAACCAGATGTGATTGAGAGCAACCAGCTTGGTTGTAAAAACACAATTCAGGCCCTGGCTGGTGTGGCTCAGGTGGCTGGGTGTCCTTTGGTGCACCAAAAGGTCGCAGGTTCGATTGCCACTCAGGGCACATGCCCAGGTCTGATCAATGCTTCTCTTTCACATCGATGTTTCTCTCTCTCTCCCTTCCTCTCTCTAAAATCAGTAAACATACACACAATTCAGGAAGCATTTTCTTTCTGAGGCCCAGTTTATTGATACCTGAAATAGTAATCACCTCTGTCCCAACTACCCCCCAAACCTCCAAGCCCTGGCTTCCTAGAAACCTTTTCCCATTAATTGCACAGCTGAGACAGACTGGGAAATATGCACAATACTAGATAATACCGCAGACTGAGACCTGGAAAGAATATTAAAGCAGAATCCATTTAGGCTAAACTCCAACACAAATCAGCCAGTCTCCTCTCATGTCATACCCTGCTTAATTTAGTTTCAATCCTGAGTAGCTTTAAGAAACAACTGGAATTATCACAAACCCCAGAAGTACATTCTGTCATTAAATAAGGAAATGCAAGAGGAGCTCCAAAGCATTCTCTCAAATCCATTCGTTTGGCATCATGCAGTAAGCATCTCCTGCATGCCAGTTAATGCTGCCAGGGAAAACAGTACTGACCCAAAGCGACCTGGGTTCCCGGACCTTCCTAGCCTCTGAAAGTGACCAAAATAGCCATGAGTTTAAAAAAAAATAAAAAAATTACAGTACAAAAGAATAAAAAGGGAGGGGGGAATACACATTAAGGTCACCCAAGAAATGAGTGTTTTAGGACAGATTATTAACTATTTTAAGGTAAGAGAATATAGAAGTTATGAAATAAGAGCAGAGTAAGATGACTTTTGCAACAGAAACAAATCATTTCGAAAGCAGTAAGTTGTAGCACAAATGTGACAGAAACATTTATGCAACACAAACCAAAAATGAGGAAGAACTGAGCAAGAATCGGAGGGAACGGGACAGGGAATCAAGTAAAATCCAACTCATGAGTAATTAGGGAGCAGAGGATCAACCCACCTGTTTATTTAATTATACACAAATCTTGGTTAAAAGCATTTTAAAATGAACAGGGTGTTAATTTTCACATACGACATATGGACTGGAAATTTCGTCCGCTAAATCGAAGTCCGCAAAATCGAGGGTTTACTGTATTCACAGAGCACCAAGTCCCTGGCAGGGATTTCACCTACTATCTAAAAACTGTAGGAACACGTTCAGTCACAGAAGAGCAGAGGAAAAAACAGGTGCATCTGACTTGAATTTAAATCAGATTTTTTCAGCGAATACTATTTTTAAATAGTATTTTAAATCTAGTTAATATGCAATGTAACTTAGGCGTACAATATACTAGTTACTATTCACGACATTCCCACCGTGTACCAGATATGCAGACCCCTCAGCAGCCCTGAAGATCCGTGTCGTCAGCAACACTCTGCAGGTAGCAAAGCACCGTAAGAGGAATTAACCTGCCCACGGTCGCACAGCTAGTGGCCTGCAAAGCCAAACTTGAACCCAGGTCTGTCTCAAAATATTGTGCTTTTTCCAAAAAGGGCCAAGTGAAATGTAGTAATTTTTAAAAAAACGACAATCCTCAAATGATATTACTTAGTACAACACCACAAATATAAATATCCTTTTCATAGAACACAAACAGTTAAACATATCAGAGGAACCCTTAGTTTATTGTCTTATAGTTTTAAAAAGGACAATAATTATGCTAAAACTTCATTTACTTATTTAAGCAATAGTTAATGAGTACCTGCAACTACTATACGCCAGGCACTGCTACTGTGACCTTCTTTCGGTACAAGATGAACCCCGTCTACTAAAAACCTGCCTGGCATCAATTTCAATGTTTTAAGACAGGATACCAGAAGATATTTTATTTATTCTATCAAACCAACTTAAAAGTTACTCAAAAATTAAGGTATTGCCCGGCTGGCGTGGCTCATCATTTGAGCATCGACCTAGGATCCAGAAGATCGGGGTTTGATTTCCGGTCAGGGCACATGCTCCGGTTGCAGGCTCGATCCCGTCGGGGGCATGCAGGACGCAGCCCATCAATGACTCTCTCTCTAATCATTGATGTTTCTATCTCCCTTTCTCTCTCTCTACCTTTCTCTCCCTCAAATCAAGAAAGACCTATTTTTTTAAAAAAAATTAAGGTATTATTAAGGAGAAATGAAGAGCATAAAACTATAGGCATATAAAATACAAAGGCAAGTGTAGGGGTTGAATAGTGTCTCTCCTCCCTGAATTCAAGTCCACCTGGAACCTCAGAAAGTAACCTTATTTGGAAAAAGGGTCTTTGCAGACCTCATCAGCTAAGGATCTCAAGATGAAATCACTCTAGATTTAGGGTGAGCTCTGTATCTAGTGACCGGCGTCCTTATAAGAGGAGGAGCGAACACAGAAAGAAACACAGACACACACACAGGATGCGGCCATGTGAAGACCAAGGCAGAGATTGCAGTTTTGCTGCCACAACCTAAGAAACACCAGCAGCCACCAGAAGCTAGAAGAGGCAAGGAACAGACTCCCCCCTAGTTTTTTCAAAAGGGCTGTGACTCTACTAACCCCTTGATTCTGGACTTCTGGCCTCCAGAACTGTGGGGGAATAAATGTGTTGTTTTAAGCTGCTCAGTTTGTGGTACTTTGTTACTACAGCTCTAGGAAACTGATATAAGTTTATCACTTTATAAGTGAATTTTCTAAAATGATATTTACCATTAACATTAACAAGCTAACAGAAGTAATCTCTTCTGAAAGCAGGCTTTTTAAACTACTCCACATGCCCAAGCGCTCTTAAATGGAACACACTGTACATGACTAGGGACCAAGCAGATGTTCGACACCTATGAGCATCAGTTACTCCCAGCACCCTCGCATGGTGACATCGTGGGAGTCACTTGGCTGGATGGGACTTCTTGCTCCTATACTGTATGTCCAGCTCCTGTGGTTTTCTGCTTTTTAAAGTTGTGTCCCATCATTCACAGTCTATCAAGAGCCAACTATTACAGCCTCCTCTCCCATGTTCTAATTTAGGAGTTCTAATTTTCTGTGGGCTAGAAAACTTATAAAACTAAATTATTAAAATAAATTTTATAAAGTATGCTCTACAAAACACCAGGACTGGAGACTCTCCACAGGAAAAAACCTCCATAATCAAGGAAGTCTGGGAAAGGACATATGTTCTCCCCTTTCAAAACTCACTATGGGCCCTGGCCACGTAGCTCTGTTGGTTAGAGCATCATCTCGATACGCCAAGGTTGCGGGTTCAATCCCTGGTCAGGGCACATACAAGAAGTAACCAATGACTGCATAAATAAGTGGAACAATAAATCGATATTTCTCTCTACCTTCCTCTCTCTCTAAAATCAGTAATTTTTTTTAAAAAGTCAGATATTCTCATGATTAAAAAAAAAACACAACTCACTATGCATATTAACGCTATAGAAGCTCTGAAAAGCCCTGTAGTAAAGAAATCTGTTAAAAGTTGTTTAACCTGGTATTTCCCAGTCTTAACTGGATATAGGTTTTTCCTTCTGAGGTTTTCAAATAATGTCCAACATTGATGAGTCTAAAATATTTCCTCTTTCAGAGTAGGCAATATTCCCTCTG